GGCTGGGGACAGCTGAGTCACGTCCTTCTGTCACCGGGATCTTGTGTCCCCATCCCTGGAGATGCTGCCAAGCCCCTCCACTCCCAGCTTTGTGGGCAGATTAAGCTTAAAAAAATCCATCAAATATTTCTTAATGTGAGCAGGAAAACGTTGGGCACAGCACAGTTGATGCCAATGGCAAATGAAGCTGTTTTTCCTAAACAAATGAAAATTCCCTGCATTCCCCCGTGCTGCAATTTTCTTTTTTAACCCAGTGACTGTTATACAAATTTATTCTCTATTTCCCCTTTTGAGATGCAGTTTAATGTACCATCCTCCCTCCTTGTCCTAATCACATATTCATGGATTAGAAAGAAACTTCCTAAAACAAAAGCAGCTGCAGCAAGTGCCAGATCAGCCAAAAACAGCAAGTGGATTGTTCCAGACATGGTTTAAAACCCAAAAATCCTATCAGAAAACCCAGCCTGAAGGGTCACTGGGCTTTGGAGATAAATGTGAGGGTGAGCAGCAGCACAGACATGCCAAACATTTTAAGTGAAATACTTTATTTTGTGGAAAAGATTCCCCAATTGGATCATCATAATCTGCAAACTCCTGGCAGCGGATTCAGCATTAAAATAGGAAGATGAAAGTCATAACGAGGCCAGACCTTTCATTTAGAAATTTTTGCAGCTAAGCAAATCTATTTCGACTTTTGAGTTATTTTAGAAGCAATTTTAAAAGCTCAATTCTTAGGGTCACTTCAAAATTTTTATTTCAAATAGAACAACGTGGGGGTTTTTTTCCCTATGTTTTGGGAGCAAATGGGCTGGATTTGCACAGAAAATTGGGCCAAAAAGGCTTTGTTTCATACATATTTCAGCTGTACCTCAATGTGTGGAAGGCAGAGGTAAGAGATACCAAATTTCCAAGCCTCAGTGTCCCTCAGCTTGGCAGGGCCAGCCTGTGCTGCTCTGGGGAAACTGAGGAAAGGTGACCCCAGCTCCTGGAATATTCCAGGTAAGAGAGGAATGACCTCTGCCAGGCAGGGGCTGTCCCCAGCTGTGTCCCACCCCTGAAGGGCCACACACCTGCCCTTAGCTGCATCAGAAATAGGTTTTTCCCCTTGGGTGGAAAATATATCTTTCACCAGCTCTGTGTGAAGCACTTTCCTCCTCTAAAAAACCTGTTCTCAGGCTAAAAATGTGTTATCTGTGTTTCCTTTGACACATTTCCTTTAGGGGAGCCACTGCCTGCCCCATCTGATTGACATCAGCTGGGTTTTCTACAAAACCCTTTTTTAGTCCCTTTATCAGACACTTCTCACCTGTTAATCTGTTTATCCACCACCAAGCACTTGAAAGCGCTGCAGCAGCAAACTCTCACCTGAAAAAAATACAACAAACAAGCGAGTTTCGGTTAAATAAACCCCAAAATATTTACCTGGGGCTCAGCAGCTGTGAGGAGAGCAGGACCAACATCTGCTGATGGAGCTGGTGGATGGTGGGAGCAGTTCCAGGGAGGAAGGGGAATTTGGGAAGTCACCCCAATGTGTGATGCAGCTCCTGGGGTAGGTGATGCTTTTTGAGATCTTTGTTTTAAATAATCCAGAGGGATTCTTTGGGATGTTATACCCCTGGGACAGGATTTGGGCTGGTGGAGATGTTTAAAGGCGAGCAGGCACTGTCCCCAAGCATCAGGGACCTTGGAAAAAAGGCAATTTCTTGTTTATTTCTGCCAGGGAAGAGGCTGGGCCGCTGCAGGGCACCTCCAGAGCTACAAACCCCACAGTTCTTATGAACCAGCAGCCCAGGATTCCCCAAACCTCCTGGGAACTCTCAGGATGGGATCTGCCAGGCTGCTGCTTGCACCCCAAAGGCTGCAGAACGTTGTCCTGAGTGTGGGCAGGGGGAGGCCCATCCTCCCCAAGCAGACACAGAGCCAGCTGGTGTGAATCCTTCATCCCCATGGAAAATGTTTGCTTGGAAGCACCCCGAGCTTGGTTTGGGTGGCAGCTGAGTTGAGCTGGGCACAGCTCCCTCAGCACTGCTTGGCTCCAAGGAAGCTCAGCTGAATTTTGGGACAAAGCCGCTGGAAGAGGAAGAATTGATGGAGGGGTTCAGGAGCAAAACAGCTGTAAAACAGCAGAGAAACACCCCAAAATATTTAAATGAGCCCACTGACAAAGAGGAGGCGTCATGGAACCTCATGTGCGCTCCTTGGTGCCTCTGACCTGGGCGTAGAGCGTGACCGCATCCGGCACTGCTGGACCCTGCTCTGCACCCAAAATGCTGCTGAAACAGCCCTAAATCCTGCTCCTGCTGCCTTTACAGCCCCAAATCCTGCTGCCTGCACAACCCCAAATCCTGCTGCCTGCACAATCCCAAATCCTGCTGCCTGCACGGCCCCAGCTGCCCCAGAGCCGTGGGGAAGGGACGGTGTGGAAAGCTCTGACCCCCAGGTAAATCCGCGTTGGGCGCCGCGCTCCGGCCGCGACAGCGCAGGAGGCAGAGGGGGAACAGCGGGAGGAGAACTGGGCTGAGAATCCCCCATGGCACATCTTGGTGCCATCCTGAGCTCCAGTGTGTAACTTTTATCTCTCTGCCTCCTGTGGGCTGAATTCTCAGTGGATATAACTTTCTTTCTCTCTCTCAGCCTCCTTTGGGCTGAATCCTCAGTGAATATAACTTTTCTTTCTCTCTCTGCCTCCTTTGGGCTGAATCCTCAGTGAATATAACTTTTCTTTCTCTCTCTGCCTCCTTTGGGCTGAATTCTCAGTGGATATAACTTTTCTCTCTCTCTCAGCCTCCTTTGGGCTGAATTCTCAGTGGATATAACTTTTCTCTCTCTCTCAGCCTCCTTTGGGCTGAATTCCCCTGGGATCCTCCCTCGTGGGGAGTCCCACTTATCTCAGTCTTTATTATTCGAAGAAAACTCCCGGGCTCATTAGATTCTGGTTTCTGGTGTTTATTGAAGGATCCTTACAAAAACTTGGCACAAGCCTAAATCACCACAGCCTGGCTCATTTCCTTCTGATGATACAAAATGCCCCCAAACCACGAGGTCTTTTCACTTTTATACCAATTTTTACCCTATTAACTACAGACACGTGTATTGTTATTATATCTCAACAAATATATCTATTCACGTAATTAAAAGTACAACTAATTCTAAACCAATCATTCTTTGTGCTTCTAAAAACTGCAGAAGCATGGAGAAGAAGGAAGAAGAAGGATTAAAAACTACACCTTTTTTCCTCCATCTTTACTCCATGTGTGAAACCCTCTTAAAATCTATATTTCTCAGTGATAAAATAAACATTTCTCTATTTTCTATTTAATTTCTTCCAAACTTTGGCTTGCTCAGGGATATTTGGAAGCCTTTCTGTCAATATTATATATGATTGATGTATTTTTTAAAGAATTGAATAGACAGAGAAACATCCCTGCATTTCTAGACTCCTACACAGTGGGCCAGCTGGGCCTGGCTCAAGCGGGGTTAAAAGAATTTGGGGTGTTCTGGAGCTTTCACTCATTTTTGGGAGAACTCAGGCGCCTCCCTTGGCTGCCCAGCCGAGGAGCAGCTCCTTGCAAACCTTGATTTCAGCATTTTCTTGAGAAATCCTGGGGGTTTCAGGCTCACAGAAGTTCCCTGAGACACCCAAAAAACCCACATTTGGTGCCAGGCTCTCACTGGCTGCTGTCTCAAGTCAGATTTTTTGATACCCACCCTGTATCAGCACCTCCATCTCACCGTACCCATCTCAGCACAGAAGCTGCTGATATTTGGGGCTTATTTTGCAATTTCCTTTTGAGCAGCTCATTTTTCAGATCCTTATCTGCTGCTGCAGCAGCATCTCCTGCCCCACGGTAGGAAATGAGCCTTTTAAGAGTGGCAGCCCTTTGAGGAGGATACTTGAGGACAGATTTTTTTTCAGTAAGGAAGGGGGAAAATTCCTGCAAAAAAAATGAACTTTTAGCTTGGCAGTCATCAAACTGTTTGCATGAGTGGCATTTCACAGGAGATTGGTGGTTATCAGGAAAGCTTTTGATGAATTAGGCTCAGAAATGTGTCACAGAGGAAATGATAGAATCTGCTCCACAGGATGGATAATGCCTTTGCTCTATCAATTTATCCATCAACCTATCAATCAAATTATCATGGCTGCTTTAATCACTGTATCAAAGCCTCAGCTGAAGGTCTCTCCCTATCAGCCATTTATAAATAGTGAGTGTATAACACTGAGGGAAGATTTAAAGTGCTTTTTTTGCAAGTGAAAGCTCACCCCATTGCTATTTTTACATAATGAGCAGCTCTTTTTTTTGTTATAAACTTTTTGAGTGTTACAGCCCGAAGTCCCAAGCTAAGGGGCTCGTTCCAGGCATTGGAGCTGGGTTTTCTGCCTTAAATCCTCTTAACCTCAGCAGGATTGAAGCTCTCCCAGTATTAAATCTGAGGTGTTTCAGACACTGAGGTGTTGGAGGGCCTCTGATATTTCAGTCTGGACTTTGGCTGATGCAAGAGTCTCACACCAACCCATGACCTTCCTTTGGTTAATTCTACCATGGGTGGTTTATTTTTATTTCATCTTGTAGTTTTCTGGGTTGTTTGTTTGTTTGGTTTGGTTTTTGTGGATTAAAAAGAGAAAAGGAAAAAGAAAATGAACCGTGAGAGAGGTTTAAAGCAAGAAGAATAAATTTCAATTCTGTTTCAGTGGAGCCCAGAAAGTCCAGACAAGTCTTAGATATGACCATGTATAAAACCATTAATTCAGTGATAAGGGAGAGCCCGTGGCTCTGTGAGGGTGTGAACCAGAGGAATTCTCACAGTGGGAAGGCTGGGATAAAATAAATAACCTTTATTTCATTTCACATCTGCAACATCCAACCGCTGCTTCCAAGTGCTGAGCCTGACCTCCAGCTCGTGTGGAGCAGCGTGAGGCTCAGTGGGACCATTTTCTTTTGGTTCCACCAGGTCTTGCTGCCTCTCTGTGTCCCCCCTGGAGACACCTCAGCGGGAGGATGAGCTCTTGTGCGTGGTGAGTGCAGCACCCCGGGGCACAGAGCCCTTCACAGCACCCCTGGGACCATCCCAGGCCCAGCTGGACGGGGCTCTGAGCCACCTGATCCGGCTGAAAATGTCCCTGCTCGTGGCAGGGGGTGACCTTCAGAGGTCCCTTCCCACCCAACCCATTCCATAATTCCAGCATTCTCTAATTCCATCACACCTGTCATGTCTCTCTCCCCTCTTCCCCCTCTCCCACATTCCCCCCCTGGCCCTGAGGCTTTTGAAAACCCCCAAAAACAAGGGGCAAGGAACTCAAATCGGGCTTGAAAGCCAAGCCCCGCACTTTGGGACACATCACCCCAAAACCAAAAGGCAAAACCAAAAGCCGCCAGCAAACCTGAGTCTCAAACGTGCCTTGAAGCCATGGGGAGAAGAATTTGCAAAGAAGAAGCAAAGAATTTGGTGATTTCCGTGAGACTGAATGTTTTTCTCTCCTTCAGCTGGATTCCTGCTGTCACCTCACTTGGCACCTTGGTGCTCCACGCTCTCCTCTTGCTGGTCCTTTACATCATGCTCAGCAGGAAAATTGGTAATTAAAGAATGGCTTTCCCTGGTGATTTCCTGGCTTGGGGTTGGGTGTGGGATGGGAAAGGGGCAGGGCTGAGCTGCTCAGGGCTGGCTGTGAGCTGTGGGTGGTGTGGTTGTACACATCAGTGAGGGCTGGACAACCTTGTGTTGCTTCAGAAGCATTTTCTTCTATTGCTCTTTTAGTAAAGTGCTGGGAAAAATACCAAGAATCAGCTCACAGAGTATTAATTCAGATGAAGCTGCAATTTCTAGCAGGGAATTCTTTCACACCAACCGCTGCTGACATTTGCACAAAGCCCTGCTCTGCTTTGGGTCAAAATCATTCCAAACTTGCAAGAAGAGGCTCTGACACTGTGATTTGTCACTGGAGCCTCTCCTGGTGGGAGAGCAGGGCCCTGGCTCATCTCAGTAATTGAATTTATGGGTTTGAGCTGCTCCAGTGCACAGCAGTGATTTTTTTGGGGTGTGCTGGTTTGCACTGGGGCTGCTGGAGCAGGTGTGGGCTGGGCACAGCAGGGACCAGGGCTCACTCTCCTCTTGGTCACAGCCCAACATTCCCGTGGGATGCAGATGAGCAGCAGCCCTGGGGATCATCCCAGGGCTCAGCCCAGCCCAGCCCCGGCCTCGTCACTGGCAGGGGACAGGGCACAAAATCCCAGAGCACAAAAACCATCACCAGCCTATGCAGGTAAGGGGCTCCTGCAGCAATGGGGAGTTGTCCTGGCACAGGAATTTTGGGAATTTTTGTGGTGGCTCTTCGGGGGTGGAACGAGGGGTGGGTGAAGGGCCAAGCAGGAGCTGCCTCCTCTTCCCATCACGCCCAGCTGGGCTCTCCTTGCCCCGTTTCTCCCAGGGAAGTGAGGCTGGGAGGGATCCAACTGATGCTTTGTGCATGGGAATTTTCACTCCTGAGCACGTTTGCTTTTTCTCCCTTGATCCCTTTTTCCCCTTTAACCCCCTGGGAAGTGCTGGGGTGGTAAATGGTTCCTGTTTTGAAGGGAGCAGTGACACATCTTCAGACACCTCGGAGGACTCGGACAGCCCTTCCTGCCCTCAGGTACCACAGGAAAAAACATCCTCAGCCCACCTGGAGCTGTGTCCAGCTCGAGACCTCCAGAGCAGCATCAGGAGGGGAAAATCCATCAAACCACACTGAAATTCCATAAATAAGGGCTGGGGGGGTTGCTGTCCTCTGTCACACACAGCATTCCAGTGTCCCCCATTCAGAGGGAAGCATCCCTGGGCACTTTAGGAAAATTAGGAAACAAAATCTTCTCTCTGAGGGTGGGCAGGCCCTGGCACAGGTGCCCAGAGAAGCTGAGGCTGCCCCTGGATCCCTGGAGTGTCCAAGGCCAGGCTGGACGGGGCTTGGGGCACCCTGGGACAGTGGGAGGTGTCCCTGGCCGTGGCAGGGGGAATGGGATGGGTTTAAAGTCCCTTCAAAGCCACCCCATTCCATGATTCCCTGAACTGCTGCATGGCTTCGAGGGCCAAGGCTCCTGGTGGCTGCTGGGGCCTGACCTGGGGTTCCTTTTGCTCCTGCAGGGCCCTGGCTCAGAGGAAAACATCCATTACACATCCCTGGTGTTCCCAGGGAAAGGCCACGAGCCAGGCTCTGCCCAGGACTACAAGAACATGAAGTCTGGGATGGATTATGTCAATGTGGACCCAAAGAAGAGGAAAATATATTTCTGTCCATTCTCCAGCCCCGAGGGATCCAAGGGCGTGGAGTACACCCAGGTGAAGCTGTGACATTGAGGTGAAGCAGTGACACCCGGGTGAAGCTGTGACACCCGGGTGAAGCTGTGACACCAGGGTGAAGCTGTGACACCCAGGTGAAGCTGTGACACCAGGGTGAATCCATCACACCTGGATAAAGCTGTGACACTGAGGTGAAGCTGTGACACTGAGGTGAAGCTGTGACACTGAGGTGAAGCTGTGACACCCAGGTGAAGCTGTGACATTGAGGTGAAGCTGTGACACCGAGGTGAAGCCATCACACCAGGGTGAATCCATCACACCTGGGTGAAGCTGTGACACCTGGATGAATCCATCACACCAGGATGAAGCCATCTCACCAGGGTGAAGCTGTGACACCAGGATGAAGCTGTGACACCAGGATGAATCCATCACACCAGGATGAAGCCATCTCACCAGGGTGAAGCTGTGACACCAGGATGAAGCTGTGACACCAGGATGAATCCATCACACCAGGATGAAGCCATCTCACCAGGGTGAAGCTGCTCAGAGGTGCCCAGAGCCCCCAGCAGCTGCACAGCTCTGTGCCCTTCCCCTGGGCACCGCCTGGCACGGGCTGCACCGCTTGTACCACCCAGACCCGCAGGCACAGTTTCCTCGGCGTTTTCCTTAAAGGCAGCTCTGTTCCTGAGGGCTGCGGGGTGGGGCAGGGGAGGGCCCCTCTGAGCCAGCCTGGCATCAGCTCTCCACTTCTGTGTCATGGCCTTTGCCCCCTGTTTTCATGAAAACGAAAGAAAATCCTCCCCTCGCCTCTCAGAACGGGCAGTTCAGGAGGGAGATGCAGTGATCCTCAAAATCTCCTCTGAACTGGCTGGCAGCTCTTCTCAGTGATGTTGTTTTGCTCATCAGCCTCATAAATCCTTTTAAATACAGTTTTCCCACTGGAGTTTCCCTCTCCCTGTCTCCCACCTTTTGCTTTCCATGTTTTTTCCCCGCTCCAGGTGCTGGGCTCGGTCTCTCCCCACCTGGGCCATCCCCCTGCTCCTCATTTTTCAGAATTTTCAATAAATAAACTTCCAAAGTGCCTGGGAACGGGAATAGTGCCCCAGTGGGAGCTTTGTGAGGGGGATGGAGCTGCTGCCTCCCAGCACAGCCCCCCTTCCTCGGGGCTGGAGCTGCCCCTAGTGCGTTTTAAACGGGCTCAGCAAAGCTGTGATTTAATGAAAGGTTGTGAGACGATTGATTTGGGATCGATCAGTGGCAGGGGGAGCCAGGCACTCCTGGTTTCATGCATGACCTTGTGGTGCAGATCTGGCCCAACTCGAAGGGCACATGAAGGAAAATGTTCCAAAAACCCCAACAATTCCTGGGTAACGCTGGAAAACCCAGGAGAGGTGTGAATAAGGAACTGGAGGTGAGGCAAAAACCAGTGAGTGGAAGCGTTTCAGAATTCTGATTCAAATGCCTGGCGATTAAAAAGTGAAAATATTGAAGATTTCAAAATATTTTACTCTTAATGTCTTATTTTTACTTTACTTTTATTTTTAGCTTTAACCTGTGCTAGTGGAAGGAATAATGCCTGTGGTTCACAGGGGGTTTGGAACCTTCACTGGGACATCTGGACATCACCTTCAGCAGCTTTTGAGCTCGACTGCCAGAGCTAATGGAGGCTCTTCCCTGCCTCATCCACGACTTATTCCTGCACAAAGCAGCTCCTGGGAGCAGGGCAGGGGCCAGGCTGGGTCTGCAGGGGGAACCAGGTTCCCTGCTCCCTGGGTGCTTTTGGGCCGCTGATCCCGGCAAAATCAGCCAAAAGCAGCAGCAGGGTGAGAGCAGCTCTGCCCGGGACGCAGCAGGCGTTGAACTCGGGATGGGGCTGGGAGCAAAGCTGATGGGAAGAGGGCCCGGGGGGGAGTGGGGATGGGCCCAGCTGGGCTGGAGCAGGGCCAGGGCTGCTCCCAGCAGCTCCTCGGGGGTGCTGTCACCGCATTTGGGGCGCTCCAGCTGGCACAGCGCGGTGCAGGACAGCTGTGCCCAGCACGAGGGGACTCCACTGCCCTGGCCCTGGCCCAGGAGAGGTGGCAGGGGGACAGTTCCAGGCCAGAGCAGCTCTGCAGCCCCGTGCTGTGCCCCGGGGGTAGGGACAGCTCTGTCCCCGCTGTCTGCTCGGCCAGCAGAGGATGTGACAGGAGGAGGCGGCGGCGAGCTCTGCAGCAGATGGAGCCGCGTTGCCGCCTGCCGTGCCCCGGCTGCTTTGCTGGCAGCTGGGAACACCAAACTCGAGTCCTCCAAGGAGGATTTTGCGGGTGCAGCATCCCCTCTTCCCGGAGGATGCAGGATCCCTCTCTGGAGGATGCAGGATCCCTCCCCGGAGGATGCAGGATCCCTCTCTGGAGGATGCAGGATCCCTCCCCGGAGGATGCAGGATCCCTCTCTGGAGGATGCAGGATCCTTTCCCAGGGGATGCAGGATCCTTTCCCGGGGGATGCAGGATCCCTCCCCGGAGGATGCAGGATCCCTTCCCGGGGGATGCAGGATCCTTTCCCAGGGGATGCAGGATCCTTTCCCAGGGGATGCAGGATCCTTTCCCAGGGGATGCAGGATCCCTCCCCGGGGGATGCAGGATCCCTCCCCGGGGGATGCAGGATCCCTCCCCGGGGGATGCAGGATCCCTCCCCGGGGGATGCAGGATCCCTCCTCGGGGGATGCAGGATCTCTTCCCGGGGGATGCAGGATCCCTCCCCGGGGGATGCAGGATCCCTCCCCGGGGGATGCAGCCGGAGGTTTCCCTGACCGCGAGGGGGGTGGGTGCTGTGGTCAGGCAGGGGCCGGAGGGTCCATGTCCAGTCCCTGGAGGTCACAGCACACGCGGTGTGGAGGATGGCGATGCTGATTTCTGCACAAGGCGGTGCCACCAGGTGGGGACAGCCGCGCTCTGCAGCGACAGAGTGACAGTGGCGCACCTGGCGGTGTCAAACCTGGCGGTGTCAAACCTGGCGGTGGCGGTGTCACACCTGGCAGTGGCACACCTGGCAGTGGCACACCTGGCAATGTCACACCTGGCAATGTCACACCTGGCAGTGGCACACACGGTGGTGTCAACCTGGCAGTGTCACACATCACACCTGGCAATGTCACACCTGGCGGTGTCACACTCGGCAGTGTCACACCTGGCAGTGTCACACCCGGCAGTGTCACACCTGGCCGTGGCAGTGTCACACCCCAGAGTATCACACTCGACAGTGTCACACCTGGTCATGGCATTGTCACACCCACCAGTGTCACACCTGGCCATGGCAGTGTCACACCTGGCAATGCCACACCCGGCAATGTCACACCCGGCAATGTCACACCTGGCCGTGGCAGTGTCACACTTGGCCATGGCAGTGTCACACCCAGCAGTGTCACACCCGCCAGTGTCACACCTGGCCGTGGCAGTGTCACACCCGGCAGTGTCACACCCTAGAGCGTGCCGGACTCTGTCACAGCCTCGTGGCAGGGCGGGTACAGCTCCCTGGCGCTGTCCCCGTGCAGTGTCACCCCGGCCTGCTGGCTGTGGCTCAGGATCGTGGTTTTCCGGCTGCACAGGCTCCCGCTGGAGTTGGGTCTGCGCAGCCCGGCCCGGGGCCGGCCCCGGCAGCGCCCGGTGCCCTGCAGGAGGTGCCCGCTGAAGAAAAGGTAGATCCAGGGGTTGCAGCAGCTGCTGAGGCTGGCCAGCAGCATGGTGATGCTGAAAGCCACGTTGGTGGACTCTGGCAAGGCAAGAGGGAGAGGTGAAACATCCCCAGGGGCTGGGCAGGACCTGGGGGCTCTCCTGGCTCTCCTTCCCGTTGGTGCAGTTCTGCCCTTCAGGTTCTGCAGTGTGAATGTGCTGCAGCACGTCCTGTGAGACCCGGCAGCTTCTGGGCTTTCCTTCAGCCTCTTTGCTGCCCAAAGCATCTCCCAGGGGACTTTCAGTCTTCTACTGTTAGGAAAACTACGAAGATTTACAGGGAAAAAAATTCAACATATGAACTGAGAAATCCATTTCTGAAACCTCTGAAAATTCCCGGAGGAGAGAAAAGACACGTGGCAAAGATGTCTTTGCACACCCCTGTGGATGATGGCCAGAAATCATCACTTCTCAGCGTTTTTTTCTGCTGAAAGGAACAAATTGACTCTACAAATTGTATTTTCTAAGCATTACCAGGGGGGAGATCTGTAGCCTCCCCATGATTTCTTTATATCTAAATGACAAGCTGTTACTCGTTACAAACCCAACCTCACTCCTGGGGTCCCCAGGGCCCTGCACCCAGCACTCACCATCATCAGGAGCATCCTCATCCCACACCGACCACATCTGCACGCTGAAGAAGGGCGCCCAGCAGGTGACATAGGCGGCCACGATGACGAAGGTCATCTTCACCGTGCGGATCTTGGCGCGGGAGATGGTGCGCACGCTGCTCACCCGCGACGGCTGCCCGCCCTTCCCCGCCGCGCCGGGGGCAGCAGGGGCGCCCACCGAGGCTCCCCCCGGGGCTGGGGCGCCGCTCTGGGTCTTACCCTTGAGGTTCTTGCAGATCTCGTGGCAGATGAGGCTGTAGCAGACGCTGAGGACGCCCACGGGCAGCACGAAGATGCACAGCGTGGTCCAGGTGATGTAGGCGCGCGCCGCCCACGGGTACCCGAAATCCGCCCAGCAATCCAACACCCCCGAGCCCGGGCGCACCTCCCGCAGCGAGAAGATGAACACCTGGGGCAGGCTGAGCAGGCAGCTGAGCAGCCAGGTGACCCCGATCATGGCGTAGGCCTGGCGGCTGGGCTGCTGCAGCGACTGCAGCGGGTGGCACACGGCCAGGTAGCGGTCCAGGGTCATCACCATCAGCATGTAGGTGGAGGCGAACATGCTGAGCACCTGCAGGTACTTGACGGCCCTGCAGAGCGGGTCGGGCCCCAGGAAGCGGTAGGTGACCTTCCAGAGCAGCTGGGGCAGCACCTGGAACAGGGCCACGCCCAGGTCGCTCAGCCCCAGGTGCAGGATGAAGAGGTGCATGCGGCTCATCTTCCTCCTCAGC